ATCAGATGGTCGACGTTTAATGTGACCAAACCATCTAAGACGACTTTCTCTAATTTTGTCCGCACATAAGCCAACCCTATCACGGATATAATCATTTCGCATTTTGTCTCTAAGTGTGAAGCCACTCATCCAACTAATCATTCTCATCTCAGCAACACTTAACTTAGTATTATGCTTCTCTTTTAAAGGCCAACATTCAGTGCCATAGAGCATTGTAGTTCTCACCACCGTCTTATAAAATTTTCCTTTCAGTCTAAGCGGTACTTTTCTATCACATGAAAGGCCCAAAACATTCCTCCATTTCAACCAACCAGCTTGAATTTTACTATTAACAACCCCATCTATATCACCATCGCTTTGAACAACGGACCCAATATATCTAAATCGTTCACACCTTTTAATAATTTGATCACCCAAAGTCACACTTCTGTTACTAGAGCTACTACTACAAAAATTACATTCCATGTATTCAGTTTTAGTTCTACTTAAATGAAGGCCTTTAGACTCCAATGTAGACCTCCATAATTCAAGTTTTTCCTGAGCTTTTGCTCTTGTTTTATCCACGAGAAGGATATCATCAGCAAAAAACATGCACCAAGGCACATCCTCCTGTAGATGTCCAGTAAGACCATCCATAACTAAAGCAAAAAGATATGAGCTTAAAGTCGATCTCTGATGTAATCCAATAGAAATAGGAAAATATTTGGTCAATCCTCCTTCAGTTTGAACACAAGTAACAACTCTAGTATACATATCTTTAATGACTTGAATATAAGTCATATCAACACCTTTCTCCTCGAGAACTCTCCAAAGGATATCTCTTGGAACCTTATCGTAAGCTTTTTCTAAATCAATAAAAATCAAATGTAGATTCTCCTTATTATCTCTGAACTTCTCCATCAAACCTCTCAATAAATGTATAGCTTCCATAGTAGACCAGCCCGGCATAAATCCAAATTGATTATGAGAAATCTTTGTAATGTGTCTTAACCTATCTTCACAGTATGACACATCAATTAATTCCTCTATAATTTGCATACTCTTGTGCATCCCCTTTATTCTTAAAAATGGGGACCAAAATACTCTTCCTATGGGGACCAAAATACTCGGGGACCAAAATACTCTTCCTACACTCCTCAGACATCTTTTTAGTTTTTAAAATAATATTAAAGAGTTTAGTAAGCCAAGAGACTCCCAAATCTCCTAATATTTCAACACTTCAATTGGGATATCATCAGATCCAACAGACTTTCCACCCTTAGTTTTCTTTAAAGCCTCCTAAACTTCTTTTTTACTAAAGCGCCGGTAAAAATAAAACGTTTTATTATTATTCACGATATTAAGATCACTAAGGTCGATCGTATTTTCAGAAACTTCATTAAAAAGTTTATCAAAATAACTCACCCA